AAAAATAAAATAGAAAATCAACAAATCTCATCTGTTTCCATTCACAGTAAAAAAGAATAATCAGAAGAAGAATAAGACAAAGACGAAGTAAGAAAACGAAGAAAGGGGGAATCACATTTGTTTTAACTTTTGTTTGATTTTTCTTTCACTCTCTAATATTGCTTCGCGACGGCTCACTTTTTCTTCTACTTTATACGAATTCAGTAATTGCATTCTTTTCCTTTTTAACTCGTTTTTTTTTTGTCAATATAATCTCAATAGGATAATCTCAGGGAATCCATCTTTAGGCGAACACGAGCCGCGCATCGGTACTTCCGTTCGGTAACGCGTGTGTGTGTGTGTGTGTGAGTAACTTTTGGGCGCACAAAACACAGATCTTTCAATTTTCTAAATGGAAAATAAAGTAACGAAAACGAAAAAGGTAAACAAAACGATAAAATTTTCTCACAATAAGTAACATTATTCTGCTAAAACATACGAAATATGTAAACTCTAGTAATAGACAAAAAGTGCCTCTCTGTCGTTTGTTCCATTTGAGCGGTTGCTTTGATTGTCATTTTTTTTTGTTTCAAACTAACGAAGCTGAAATGGTTTCTATTTACACTTAACTTTAGAGGGGTAGAAAAATACACCATTAGGAGAATATAAAATTACTAAACAATTAGAGTAGTAGGTATGCAGCAGCAGTGTTTCACTAACGCTAGGAGTACTATTTACTTGTTTTTTTTATTACTCTTCGTTGTCTACTTATGAAAACAAAATGGCAAGAATTGGACAGAAGCTGTTACTCTTAACCTCAAACTTAACGTAAGTCGTTTCTTGTTTGTTTTTTTTTTGATTGTATGTGTTGTAGTTGCGTTTCGTTTGTGAGTGAGTGTTTTTGAGCGCGCTAGGTGCCAAAGTATTAATGATAATAATAATAATAATAATAATAATAGTAATAATTTAAACTTTGTCTTTTGCGTTGAGTGAGAATACTTTCTTTTTTTTTGACAAACGACAACAGTAACAATAACAATAGGATCGTTGGACGACGAAAATAGAAAGCGTTTCTCTTCCGATCGGCCGTGATGGGCGCGGTGGAAGAAAACATCACAGTACAAATTTCTTCTCTTTCGATTTGTGTTTCACAAAATACAAACGTGTTATTAATTTCGATTGTTTTTTCTTGTTTACATTGTATAGTACACTTAACTTTTACTAGGCTTGACGAATAGAAATGACGTATGGAAAATGGTGTCATCACTATCGCTGGTTTTGTTTCAATACTCTTTGCACACATGCACTCGATTATTTCAATCAATCATAGCAAGCCTTGTATTGGGGACATTGCTAAATACAATAAAATAGGAACGTCAATTTTTGAGTTTTTTTTTATGTTCTGGTTGATTTGAGGCTGATGTTTCGAACGAAGAGGAATTGGTGTGATTTTGTTCTGTTTTGATGTCATAATATTTAACTGTAAGTTGCAATGATTCTAAGGGATCGGGTAAAGTTGCCAAGTATACTTACTGAAGTCATGCGAGAAGTTCCTTGAGAAGTCCCGAAAACTTCCTGGAGAAGCTCCGAGAATTTTCTGGAGAAGTACTAAGAACTTTCTGGAGAAGTTCCGAGATTTTACTTTAGAAGATACTAGAACTTCCTTCAGGAGTTCCGTGGTCTTCCTTGAGAAGTTTAAAGAATTTTCTTGAGAAGTTCCGATAATTTCCTTGAGAAGTTCTGAAAATTTCCTGGAGGAGTTCCATAAACATCCTTTAGAAGTCCATATAATTGAGAAGTTCTGAGAATTTCTTCCTGACAAGATCCAAGAACTTCCTGGAGAAGTTCCGAGAATTTTCTAGAGATTTTGTAAGAACTTTCTTAAGAAGTTCCAAGATCTTGAGCAGTTCTGACAACTTTCATGAGAAGTTCTGAGAGTTTCCTTTGGTGAACTTCCTTGAGAAGTTCCGTGAAATTCCGTGAGAAGTCGGTGAACTTCATTTAGAAGCTAAAATAACTTCTTTGAGAAGTTCTGATAACTTCCTCGAAAAGTTGCGAGAACTTCCTTGAGAATTTGCAGAACTTTCTTAAGAAGTCCCGAGATCTTCCCTGAGAAGTTCCAAGAGCTTCCTTGAGAAGTACCAAGAGCTTCTTTAAGAAGTTTCAAGAAATTCCTGGGAGAAGTTCCAAGAACTTCCTGGAGAAGTTCCGAGAATTTCCTAGAGAATGTGCAAGAACTTTCTTAAGAAGTTCCGAGATCTTCCTTGGGAAGTTTTGACAACTTCCTTGAGAAGGTCTAGAATTTCCTTCCGTGAACTTCCTTGAGAAGCTCCATGAACTTCCGTGAGAAAGTCTGATAACTTCTTTGAGAAGTTCCGAGAATTTCTTTCCGTGAACTTCCCTGAGAAGTTAGAACAATTTCTTTGAGAAGTTCTGACTACATCCTTGGCGGAGACGAACCAGCTTAGGGCTGAAAGTCTCCTTCATGAAGATATATAAAAAAATCCTTGAGAAGTTTCGAAAATTTCCTGGAGAATTCGCAAGGACCTTCCTAAGAAGTTCCGAGATCTTCATTGAGAAGTTCTGACAACTTCCTGAGAAGTTCTGACAACTTCCTGAGAAGTTCTGACAACTTCCTGAGAAGTTCTAATAACTTCTTTGAGAAGTTCCGAGAATTGCTATCCGTGAACTTCCTTGAGAAGTTCCTTTAGAAGCTCCGTGAACTTCCTTGAAAAGTTCCGAGAGCTTCCACGAGAAATTCCGTGAACATACTGGAGAAATTCCAAGAACTTAATTGAGAAGTTCCAAGAACATCTTGGTGAAGTTCCGAGAACTTCTTGGAGAAGTTCCGAGAACTTCTTGGAGAAGTTCCGAGAACTTCTTGGAGAAGTTTCAAGAACTTCCTTCAGTAGTTCCAGTAACTTCCTTGAGAACTTCTGAGAATTTCCTGAGAATGTCCAATAACTTTCTTGGAAAGCTCCAATAACTTCCTTGAGAAGATCCAAGAACATCCTTGATTAGTTCCAAGAATTTCCTTGATTAGTTCCAAGAACTTCATGGATAAATTCTGAAAATTTCCTTGAGAAGTTCCGAGAGCTTCCTGGAGAAATTCCGAGAACTTCTTGGATAAATTTCAAGAGCTTCCTTGAGAAGGTCCGAGAACTTCTTGTAGAAGTTCCGAGAACTTCTTGTAGAAGTTCCAAGAACTTCTTGTAGAAGTTCCGAGAACTTCTTGTAGAAGTTCCGAGAACTTCTTGTAGAAGTTCCGAGAACTTCTTGTAGAAGTTCCGAGAACTTCGTGTAGAAGTTCCGAGAACTTCTTGTAGAAGTTCCGAGAACTTCTTGTAGAAGTTCCGAGAACTTCTTGTAGAAGTTCCTAGAACTTCTTGTAGAAGTTCCGAGAACTTCTTGTAGAAGTTCCGAGAACTTCTTGTAGAAGTTCCGAGAACTTCCTTGATTAGTTCCAAGAATTTCCAATGAACTTCATGAACAAATTCCGAGAACTTCATGGAAAAATTCCAAGAGCTTCCTTGAGAAGCTCCGAGAACTTCCTTGAGAAGTTCCGAGAACTTCCTTGAGAAGTTCTGAGAACTTCGTTGAGAAGTTCTGAGAACTTCCTTGAGAAGTTCTGAAAACTTCCTTGAGAAGTTCCGAGAACTTCTTGCAGAAGTTCCGAAAACTTCCTTAAGAAGTTCCAAGAACTTCCTTGAGAAGTTCCGAGAACTTCCTTGAGAAGTTCCGAGAACTTCTTGTAGAAGTTCCGAGAACTTCTTGTAGAAGTTCCGAGAACTTCTTGTAGAAGTTCCGAGAACTTCTTGTAGAAGTTCCGAGAACTTCTTGTAGAAGTTTCGAGAACTTCTTGTAGAAGTTCCGAGAACTTCTTGTAGAAGTTCCGAGAACTTCCTTGATTAGTTCCAAGAATTTCCAATGAACTTCATGGACAAATTCCGAGAACTTCATGGAAAAATTCCAAGAGCTTCCTTGAGAAGCTCCGAGAACTTCCTTGAGAAGTTCCGAGAACTTCCTTGAGAAGTTCTGAGAACTTCGTTGAGAAGTTCTGAGAACTTCCTTGAGAAGTTCTGAAAACTTCCTTGAGAAGTTCCGAGAACTTCTTGCAGAAGTTCCGAAAACTTCCTTAAGAAGTTCCAAGAACTTCCTTGAGAAGTTCCGAGAACTTCCTTGAGAAGTTCCGAGAACTTCTTGTAGAAGTTCCGAGAACTTCTTGTAGAAGTTTCGAGAACTTCTTGTAGAAGTTCCGAGAACTTCTTGTAGAAGTTTCGAGAACTTCTTGTAGAAGTTCCGAGATGTTCTTGTAGAAGTTCCGCGATCTTCTTGTAGAAGTTCCGAGATCTTCTTGTAGAAGTTCCGAGAACTTCTTGTAGAAGTTCCGAGAACTTCTTGTAGAAGTTCCAAGAACTTCTTGTAGAAGTTCCGAGATCTTCTTGTAGAAGTTCCGCGGTCTTCTTGTAGAAGTTCTGAGTACTTCTTGTAGAAGTTTCGAGAACTTCTTGTAGAAGTTCCGAGATGTTCTTGTAGAAGTTCCGCGATCTTCTTGTAGAAGTTCCGAGATCTTCTTGTAGAAGTTCCGAGAACTTCTTGTAGAAGTTCCGAGAACTTCTTGTAGAAGTTCCAAGAACTTCTTGTAGAAGTTCCGAGATCTTCTTGTAGAAGTTCCGCGGTCTTCTTGTAGAAGTTCTGAGTACTTCTTGTAGAAGTTCCTGGAGAAATTCCTTGAGTTATCCGAGACATTATTTGAGAAGTTCTGAAACGCATCTTGGGATGTTCCGAAAACTTCCAGAAACTTCATAGAGTTGCCCGAAGAACTTCCTGCGAACTTCAAACATTAACATTCAAAACTCCTGGCTCGCTTCAACTTCGGAAACTGGCAGCACTTCTCGCTTTCCCATTAGAATCATGTGTTCCTGCTGATGCGCATGAGTATCGGTGACTGAGTCTACTTTGATGCTAGGATCCTTGATCGCACCCCAATGGAAGTTGGTTCCAAGATCAGATCATAGCTGAGTTGTGATATCCGGGCTGTGTGTGTGTGGGGAGGGCAGTGTTCGAGGTTAGGAACCGGGCTCGGCATGGGATTACCGACCGGCTACGATGGTGGCAGTGTTGAGGAGGATCGGCTGTGGAACCGATTGCACCTGTTGAACGATCGATGGCGGCGGAAGGAGCGATGACTGCGGCACGGGCGAAGGTGAAAGCTGGGGAGGACCGGATTGCTGTTGCGCTGCAGCAGCAGCAGCAGCAGCCGCTGCCGCTTGTTCCGCCGCTGCTCGGTTGGTCTTGCTGGCCTTGACATTGCCGGAGGGGTTCTTCTGGGCCATGTGTGTTTGGTAGTGCTTGGCCAGGTGAGCCTTCTGGCGGAAGCTCTTGCCGCAGAGGGAACAGGCAAATGGCTTCTCGCCGGTGTGCGTCCGGATGTGCACGTTGACCGAGTACTTGTCCTTGAAGCCCTTGGAACAGATCGAGCAGTAGTGCAGCGAGCGTTCCTTCCGCTGGCCGTTGCAGTGCGTCGGGCTTGGGTTGTTGTTGTTACTGTGGTTGGTTGAGCTGAGCATCGACGCCGAAGTGGTGTTGAGGTTGCTCATGCTAGTGTTGTTGTTGTTGTTGTTGTTGTTGGCAAGTAAGCTATTGTTATTGTTGTTGCTGTTGTTGGTAGTGGTGGAGTTTGCACTGTTGCTGTTGAGAGATCGCTTGTACTTCTTGGATGACCGAGGGGCTTTCACCTTGGCTGTGGAGGTGGTCGTCACCACGTCGGACGAGGTGGTCGTCGATATCGCATGATGATTGGCGCTGTTGACGCTCGATATCACTAGGTTGTTGTTACCGTTATTGCTACTGATAAGGCTAGGATTCTGATGGTGGTGATTGATGGCAGCGGTTTCGACGATGATTTCGGTGTAGTTGTTGTTGTCAGTGCAGAATTGCTGGACCTCGGTGGCGATCCGTTTCAGCTTCTCGTAGTCCTCGGTGAAGGTTGACTCCAGCGTGAGGAACATGTCGTCTACGACGACGCCCGAGCCGAGATCGCCGACCGCACCGCCGGCCGGATGGGGTTGATGTTGCTGCGGGTGGTTCGAGTTGGGCGAGTGGAGGGTGGAAGCCTCGAAGAGGGGATTAGCGAGAGTCGAGTCGGCGTAGCCTAGCGTTTCCGCTTCGCCAGTGTAGAGGACTCGCCTGAGGTCCTCCTCTTTGATTTGACCGGCCGGTATCACCGTGATGCCGTTCTGCAGCTGGACGGCAGTTCCCTTGGTGTAGCCTTTGCCTTGCAGGGCACTCCGTAGCAGGGACTCGGGCGTTTCGTGCTCTATCACATTGTGATCGGACATTTGCCAATCGTTGTTGTTGTTCTGATAGGCTATCACACTGTTCGGGTCCATCAGGCTGTTGGACAGCACGATGTTTGTCGAAGAGACGGGTATTTGTTGTACTTGCTGGTGAAGGTGCTGCTGCTGCTGCTGCTGCTGTTGTTGCTGTTGTTGAGATAGCAACTGCTGTTGAGGATCTTCCTTGGAGTGATGATCGGTGCCAAAGCCGCTGTCATCGTAGGAAAAGCATTCGGTCTTGACGTACCCCGGGAAGCCACCGAGGATGGTTTCGAGATCGAGGTTGGACGCCGGCGGGGGTGGCTCCGAGGGGGTTGGATCCTTCCACGGCTCCGGGCCGCCATTCAGCACCGTCAGGGTGTAGATCTGAAAAGTTGCGATCATTGATGTCAGTAATTTAAGTTTGAGATTTTGGAAGGAGAGCGACCAACCTGTCCATCTGTATCCGTGACGGAGTTGCTGATGGAACCAATCGGGAGCTGGCCGTTGTTCTGCTGCTGGATCCAGCAGTAGCGGTTCATGTCGTCGAACATCGACTGGTCGAGCCGGTTGGCGTCTTTGTCCGGTCCCCAAAACTGTAAGAAGCGAAGAATGGGAATTGTTATTGGTATTTTATGAATGTTCCTATATTGGTATGGTGGTGGATCGATGAATCGTGCTAACAAAATTAAGTTATTTTCACTCATCTCCCATGTTCCGCTCAATAAGCTCTAGAAAAAATCATCTAACATTCCACCAAGTGTGGCAAGACTTCAGCTAATCGGATGCGGAATACCGTTCGACTTGTCAAGCTCAGTGTCAGAACAGATCCAAAGAGCAGGCGACGAACCGGAAAAGCACCTCGGATATCGCCCTCAGTTTCGCCCCGTAACGTTGACGACGTTGATGCTGCTGCTGCTGCTGCTGCTGTTGAATAGTTATGAGCGAAGATGCCCGGAGTTGTTCATTTTGGGGCTGAACCGAGGGAATTTATTAGCCATCACACCATCTGGCGTAGGAGCGAGCTCTTGGGCCAGCATCACCACAAAACGGTTGTTTGTTACTCGTCGTGACTCTGGGCCGGTGCGCCGCTATCTAAATGTAGTCTAAGCGGAGTCGTGTCGGGCACAAGAAGCGCAGTAGCAGAAGTGGCATCACTAGTCGGCGGTTTACGACCGTTTTTAATAAAGAAATTATTGTTATTTAATTCGCATTTAAAGTGCCGGAGCGTTTTTATTCGCTTCCTTCACGCTCGCGCATGGCTGAATGAGTGACCGGTGCCTGCAGCTGGGCCGTTTGCTTATTTGTTGGATGTGCTCGGCTAAATACAACAATTTGTAAATTCGTGTTTGTTGTATTCCGCTAGCTGGTAGGAAGAAGAAGAAGAGGAAGACCTGTGAATGAAAGCGAATCGGTTGGGTGGTTGTAACTGGCCAGGGTAGAGGGTGGAAGGAGCTCACGGCAGTGCGATAGTCGGTGCAATGGCGCAAGTGAAAGGATGCTTCTTTCTAATGGCATAATTAGCCTTCGTGTGCTCGGTACAAGCGATAACTAATCGGCTTGATTTGATTTTTTTTTGCCCAGGGCTCAGTGGGGGATGGCCGGGAAGGACGGCCATCCGGGCTAAGACGGCCACTCTTTGGATTATTGATGTTCTAAAACACAGTTTAGCTTGATAACTGGTAAAACGTCAAAATTCATAACCAAAACAAACATTGTGTATGCTGGGGGCTGGCTCTTGTTATTTTGTGTTTACGGAATTTAATGTTTTAGAGCTATTATATCATTGATAATGTAAAAGTAATGTAGCTATTAGGAAAGCACAAGTATGTTCGATGTACTTACATAGCTGTTGCTGTTGCTGGGGTAATACGACCACTTTTGGATGGGATGTGTTGTACCACAAGGTTGGAACTGAATGCAGTAAATAACAACATCTCGTTTCTGAAAAAAACATCAGGCTCTTACGAAAACATTTGTGGATCTGTTATCAGAATGGATCCAGAATGACTATTGAAGAAACGACTTCTTGACGATTGTATTCAACTGCATGCTTGATAATACTTGTACTATTTTTGTTCATACAAATCTGGAAAATTATATTCAACCACATAATTGAACTACTTTGGTGTTGTTTAATTTATGTCGAGATGCTTTCATTCGACTTGCATGAGTTGTAACAGAGCTTATTGGATCAATTTTTTGATTATTCAGCGTTTATTAGACATCATCATTGTGTCCTTACTTAAACAGCGATGCTGTATACGCTTGATTCTCACACTAGTATACATTTACTAAACGATTAATAAAACTGCGGGAAAATTGACATGAATATAAAGAACGTTGAAAAACGAATGGCCAACACATGGGCACCACAATCTCAACGTCCATGGCTCGGTTCCAGTTTGCTCAATTTTATTAATTTTTTGTCAATGTTATTTTGTATAAGGCAAATCATTAAATATTGAAAAATGATCCAAGTGTTTTTTGACGTAGGACTACGTCTTTGATTTCTATATGGGGGTACACTTTGTGAAAACCGAAAATGGAACATGTAACAAATTAAGAAAGATTTTGAACGTTAATTACTCAGCTGCCCCTGGTCCAATTTCAATAATTTTATCACCAATCGATCAGAAATATGGCTACGCATCGATGCTTTCGAATGTTGATTTTCAACTAGAAACTATTGAAAAACTGGTAAATGTCAAGCATTGTCCAAAAGCGTCGAATTAATTAACAAATCCACCAATTACCTACATGCATATGCTGCTTCCCCAGCACAGTCGTCAGAGAGTAGTAAGTAGACGAAACTAGTCGAAGTGGCATTCGCCTCCGATCCTCGGGCGCGTGCGAATAGGGAGGATGGAATTGCGTAATATTTTGCACACTCATCGCCATATTCAGAACCAAACGCAAATTCTTCAAGATAACCACCATCCGTCGTCTGGCTCGCCGTGGCGGTGTCTGACGAATCTCCGGTCTGATTTACGAGGTGTGCTGAAGGTGTTCCTGAAAAATGAGATCCGTGATGCTGTCACCTACACTAAACACGCCAAGCGTAAGCGGCCATGGATGTCATCTACGTTTTGAAGTGCCAGAGACGCACTTTGCTGGGTTTCGGAGGTTAAATCATCACCAACGTTGGCAACAAAACGGCTCTTTTCAGGGCCACCAAGCTTATTACAGTAAAGAGTAGGAATAGAATTCATCTGCCTGTTTGTCCATATTCAGAACCAACGACCACACAAAATGCTCATGTAATCAATCTGGAAGCAGGGGTACAAATTATTTTGATCAACCTTGATTAACTTTGAATCGCCACAACCGGATATTTTCGATGGAAGAAGCAACAATCTAGCATCTAATTCGACGAAGACGGCAGGAAACATTTGTGAAGCCGAGTTATTTACGAAAGAGAGTGTCGATGAAGAGAATCGATCAATGTAGATAGGACCTATTGAAAAGTGACGCGAGATTTGTTTTCCGTACTGAGCTCCAATGCTACCGACGCCAGGGAGGTAGCTCCCACACCTGGATCCTACCAATCGACCCATCAACTCAACCGGGGACCAATGGCTTTACTTCCCGAAGGAAGGCGTGATCAGAGATGTTATGCCTTAGAACATGCCAGTGGCGCCGACTGAGATTGAACCCAGGCCTGCTGGGGTGAGAGGTAATCACGCTAACCACCGTCGCCGATATCTTTCAAGGTGATATCACTGCGAATGAGAACGACCCAAATTTGAGTTTAGTTATCTCAGAAATAAGAAATAAAGTGCAGGAACTCAGCGATGAGTAAATTTGCCTCATGTTTTCCCAGGATTTTCCAGGGGAAAATTCCCGAATTTGAGAAAAGTAAAGCTTGGATTCACTCAGTCTATTGCTACTACTCCGAGACTGAATGAAATTTTCGTCAATTTCCTCATTTTCTGGTAGATTTTTTAGGTTTTCCACAGGAAACCATGAGACAAATTTACTCATCGCTGAGTTCCTGCACTTTTGGCGATTATGAGTGAACTAAACTCAAATTTGGGTCGTTCTCATTCGTCGTGTACGCAAAAGGAAAAGAGCCAGTGTCGCTACTTGATAGCAAACTACTCATAATGGGAGGAGTCTTTGTAGCTTTTATACCACTTGATTGCACATCATTCTGCTTTAACCTGAAAAGATATAAAAGAGCGCTGCTGTATGGCATTAGCTCGATCACATTCTCTGCTTGAACGTCAAGCAGTACAGTTCGGTCTTTGCTCACTCTGTCGAGTTGTTCTAAAGTTTCTAGTTTGTTCCAAACATTCGCAGTTTAATCGCGTCATCAGTAGTGTCGGTCGCTTCGTGTGATGGGAAGACAGCGCTCCCGGAGCAGGCTCCGAGAGAAAACGGAGAAGAAGAACAGCGGTGAGGGTAGCTTGAGTGTACCTATTTCGAATAGGTACGCTACTCTTCCCACCGATGTAGGGAATACTACCTCAGCCACGGTGAAGCGGTCAAAAAAGAGGAAGAAAAATCAAGGCCAGTCCGATGGTGCGAGTGGACGGGACGATGCCACCGCGACGAACGTCAGCGTCATTGGTGATTTCGGCGACGCCGTCGACAACGAAACTGCTGCCAGCCCGAGTGCAGCAAAAATGAAGCTTCCTCCACTGGTGGTGAAGCAAGTCCCACTCAACACGCTGATTAGCGATCTTTCATCGCTGGGCGTTGCAGCTGAGTTTAAGCTCGGCAGGATCGGCACCAAGGTGATGCTCCGAACGAAAGCGGAGTACGAAGTGGCCCTGAAATATCTGAAGGATACCAAGGCGGAATTCTTCACGCACGACATCCCCGGTGAGAAGCCCTTCAAGGTAGTCATCAGGGGTCTACCAAACTTCGACCCCATGATGGTCTAAGCTGAAATCAACCGGTACAAGCTAGCCCCAATCGCTGTCTTCCGAATGACAAGGAGAGACGAAAACGTGAAGACGTACCCGGATTGTCTTTTCCTGGTGCACTTCGAGAAAGGGACGGTGACACTCAATGCGCTACAAGCCATCCGATCGATCTACTCCATCATCGTACGGTGGGAGCCATACCGTGGCGGCCATCGTGACGTAACGCAGTGTCAGAGGTGCCTCAATTTTGGACACGGTACCCGCAACTGCAACATCAAGCCACGCTGCAGCAACTGCGCTCAAGAACACGCCACTTCCAACTGCCCTGCGGATGGAGCCGTGGCGTTAAAATGCGCCAACTGTGGTGGTGCACATCAAGGTTCCGACAGACAGTGCTCCAAACGCGAGGACTTCAAACGCATCCGAAAGCAGGCGTCAAGCAACAATCAACCAGGACGCAAGAAGGACAAAACCCCAGCATTCAGGACGGAGGATTTTCCGCCTCTTCGTGCTCCCCAGCAAAGGTAAGCGAATTCGCGGGCGCAACCCGCCCCCCTCAAGAAGCTTCCGGTGATTCTGCTGGGAAAAGCTCTCCATCCCCCCCTGGATTCTGGAGACAACCAACAGCGCAAAACAACAACCCCGATCTGTTCTCAGCGGACGAACTGATGGAAATTTTCGTCAACATGTCCGGTGCTCTTCGTAAGTGCCGCAATAAGCCCGAA